CACACACACACACACACACACACACACACACACACACACACACACCCCTCTGCTGTTTGACGTCAGGAAATGTACGCATTGCTTCACTTTTCCTATCCTTTCAACTGACATTTAGCAAAACAACTTCAAGATGAAAAACTGCGGACTCATACCTGTTCAATTCAGCATCATAGATTACTTGAACAGAGGCGACAGTGGATTTGGTTTTATCGACCATTTGTTGCTAAAGTGGAGGTCAAGACCCCATTTTGGGTCATGAAATGCCAAGTGGGGGTCTTGAGATAATTTCCAATAATCGAATTAGATTTAAAATGTGTTCAAAAAAGTATATTTTGCTGTATTTAAAGCTTAAAACAGTAGGTGAATGCAAATCGTATAACGAAAATTAAGGATGTTGTTTTATTATGATTTAGTTCGCTACGGTTTAGTTTGTAGATCTTTATCCTTCAACCAGCAAAAGTTGGGATCACAAGTCTGTCATTGTCAAAATGCTTAAAAACACTGATATAATCTAGACTGAAAGGGACCTATCCATGCAAGTATCCTGTGTGTGCCACTGTAATTACCCRGTTTGTCACTATTTTGTATTATCCTGTGAGACCATGTTGGGTCTCCATCCTAAAAGATAAAAAAAAGTTATGATGATTTCAGTTTTAAAATGTTTCATCCCAGAACACTTGTTATCTTTATGCAGGACTTATTATTATTATTATTATTATTATTATTATTATTATTATTATGCTTTGTTACAATTTTCTGAAATGTAATTAAAAACCTATTTATACTGGGACACGCTTCACTAAAATGATTAGATTCGTCTTATTAAAGTCTCTCCTGCAGTCAATTCTTGAGTCTTTTATGTATCAAGTAAATGAAAACACAAGCACTGACCCTAACATGACACATGCCAATATATTATGAATTTACCATGGTTGTTCGTATCCTGTCATCATTTTGAGTCTGACAGCTGTTGCCTTCAGACTGGGTTGTTGGTGCGTTCAGGTACACGCTGTTACTGTAAGACTTTAGAGTTTTCTGCAGGTGAGCCAGCCGCTGGAGGACATATCGCTGCTGGGCATCTCCCCTCATGGAGCCACGCTGAACAAGGTGATCGAAGTGATCCACGATGTCACCGGAGACACGGATATCTGCTGCTGATGGAGAGTCCGAGGAGCCGAGTGATGCTGAGGAACTGAGAGTCCTCCAACAGCTGTAATCTAAAAACAAAACAAACAAAACAAAGGTATTATTCACTACTTGATGTTTTAAAACGACGGGAAAAAAATCTCGTACTCACCTTTTCCAAAGTAACCACTTGATAGAATGTAAACGGACAGAGCTCGTTTTCTTAAAATAAAACTGGAGCACCTGGCAGCTGTAGGGATTGTGTAAGCCGCCATGATGTCAAAATGCCAAAACTTTATTGGAACGTGTAACAAAACGTGTTGCTGCTATGAAAGGGATGTCCCCGATTTTTTTCATCAACGTATTTTGTTATGCCTTACTCATAACACAAGTAATATATATATATATATAGTTGCTGATATGGGATAGATTGAAACGTAATATTTGCGAGTGTATTTCATGTTGTTAGCAATTGCTTCAGACTGTGAACGGCAAATAATAGCCCGTATAATATAAATAAAGTATATTTGTTTTATTTTCTCAACCTTAATAATTATAAATGTCGGTTTATAAACAAATCAACACGAAGAGGCAGAACAGAACACCGTCAGCTGAACCTCAGCTGATCGGAAGTACCGCATGATAAACTCCGACGTCAATAAGTAGCAGTTTTAATGTATAACACCTTCAAAATAAAAGTTAGAGTTGGACATTTTATGCCTAACAACAACAAAAACTTGTGAAGAAAGCTAAATATACTATATTAATATAAAATTTGTTTTATCTTAGCTATGACTTTCAGTTTTCTTTTATTTTAACAACGGAGACMCTCCATTGTATTTTATTTTGAAGAGAAATTCCAGAAAGTACATATTCATATTCCGGCTAACTTGACAGGATACCTATCCGCTAGAAAGGACAGGGAGAAATGGCTGATGCTATAGCTGATACAAGAAGGCTCTACACTAAGCCTCAAAACCTTAATGACGCCTATGGACCTCCGAGTAATTTTCTAGAAATCGATGTGAGCAACCCTGAGACGACCGGGGTTGGCAGAGCGAGATACACAACCTATGAAGTCAGACTGAAGGTGAGCGTGCAGCAGCATAGCCTAACGTTAGCTTAGGGCTAGCCACGTAAGCTAAGCTAACCTGCCGTTTTAGTTTAAAATAAGTTATAACTGCGTGGTTATAACTCATTGTGGCTTTTTACTTTCTAAATGGAAATCTGTATCTTGTCGAAATTTGTTGACGAAAATGACAAAGGACAAGAATACGGTTTACTTAAGGATAATACTAAAAGACTGACTGTTTACATTTGCTTTCCACGGTGAGTCCGCAAAGGAAGCTGGATTTACAGAAGACACACACAGCTGCATCTAAATTTATATATGATTATTAACGATAATCAAAAACATCTCCAAATGTTTACTGCCTCTCTTTAGAGTTTAGAATGAAACTCCAGCCACACCCCGTGGTCTGAAACTATACCAAGACATGACAGCCAGCCTCTTAAGATAAAAAAATACAAGTTTTTTTTTTCTATCCTAAGCTAAGAAAACTGCTGTACTGACTAGTTTTGATTTGTCACGATTCACAAAATGCCCTTTATGCAACAAAAACATTTTTGTGGTTTAGTTAAAGCACATCATTTTGTTTGATTTTTTTTTTTAGGAATGCCCTTTAACATATTTTTAAACAAAGCAGCTMAGAAAAATTACTGGCAATTTTGATGGAACAAAAACATTTTCTGGTGCTAAATAACATCTCCCTCCTGAAATTACGAAAAGCCYCACAAACTTCTGTACAAAAGAAAGSTTTTTGACCAGGCCTGGAAACCTAAACATACACGATAATGCAGTGGAGAACATGTCTCTTTATTACCATGTTTAAAATATATTCTATACAATCCATAAACTCATTAGATCACCTGAGCTATCTTCACGATATACATCTCTAAAGTCATTTTTCCGACACTGTCAGTCAAAACGTGGCTGTGATTTATCAAGTCAGCTTTTCTGGAACTGTAGACCGGATGCAGTGCGCTGACTGTGCCGCCAGCACCCCTGCAGCACGTTTCCTTCCTCCAGCTCCATTGACCAACTTCCAATGAACTTCCCCTCCCCTCATCTGTTTGTGAAAAATGTGGCCATTAGTATGTGCTCTAAATATATAAGCTTCTTAAGTGTGCAAAGCAAGGTTTGTGGGTAAAATTGACTGTAATCAACAATTAGGCAAAATGTTAAACCTTCATAACATTTTGAAAAACTCAAGTTCGTGAGTTTTTGTGACTATGTTATAAGGAAAAACAGTCTCAAATCAAATTATTTTTACAAGTTTTATATTGCAAGTGTTACAGAAATCTTTAAATTACATTAAAACAATATTGTGTTTCAAATATGCAGTTCTTTGACAGACCAACAATCCTCTTCTGCTGATGAAAACTATATAAACTGCWTTGTTGAAACAATCCAGAAGTATTAGACTTTCTTCCTTTTGCTTTTTCTAATATTAAAAATGAACATGCAGGTGCTTGGGATAAGTATGACTAGAGGGAAATGTTTTTATTTAAGGTACAGAGACAACACTTGGTTTAGTCCTTTATCATACATCCAAGGATGGAAAATTTCTTGTAATCTTTTAAAGAGTGACAAGTTCAGCAGGCTTTGCAATGCTTATGTTTGAACTCTGTCTGTTTTTCCCCTTTCATTTCTGTTTAGTATTTTGCTTAATCGTCTGTTATGTGTAGACACAACACATAAAAGACATGGTGATGCTCTTCTTGAGTTTAGTGGGTCTTTATTGATATATAGATCAGAGTTAAGTGGCTTTGACTTAAAACAAAAAGTAATAAATTGCTAAAATGTCTTAAAATGATCAGGTACTGGACTTCTAAATTGAAAAATCTGCCAACGTCCAAAGAAAAACCGAGAACAACCTTCAGTTAGCCTGAAGAATAAAAGGATTTTAAAACGTTATGAGAAAGTTTGGCTCTTTGGTTGCAAATTATAAGGAAAATAGCAACAACGTAATACTTTTGCAAAGTTCTATATATACTGTATGACAAGCATTCTTTTAAKCAAATCTTGTCACCAATTGGAGTGTAAAGAATTTCTAACATTTATAGCAACATTATATCTGCAAGCCGTTCTTTGGCTCAACTGATTGCCTTAATATTTTTTTATCTGTAAATGGTCGTTACAGTAACTGACACCCCTGTAGTTAACGGCTTGAAGTCTGTAGAATTATCTCCAGCCCTCAACAGTTTCGCAGTTTCCCTTTTTCCTTAAAGAAAYGAGTTTASGGGATAGAAGCCGTCGCCAGGCATTATCATTGAATATAAGGCTACTGTACTTGATTAGCGTGTAATAATTAGCATATGCGTGTAATCAGCATTATTGTGCGTCTCATAGCCCTGTGTGACCCTGCTTTGCATAAGACCACAGAAGAAGCGACGCATCCCTCACTTTTCAAAAAGCACGGTGACAACCTAGCTTTGCTTCTCTCCTCCTTTTCTTCATCTTTTTAGAAGTATTTTTCTCCATCTTCATTTGTAAGCACTTTTGACAGTTTTGCTTTATACAGTTTTGCTCACTTGTTTCATTTTCCTTATGATTTTTCCAACTGCTTCAGTCTTGTCCTCTCATTCCGTACAGTTTCTCCTAATAACCTTTTGTCCCGTTCTCACTGCTACCCTGCTATCCACCCTGAAATCGAGAGAGAGCCCTTGTGGCCGCAACGAGTCTGCTTAATCCCCTCTTTGAGAAAAGAGAAGAATGAAACGGGCCAGGGTGTAGAGRGGGTGGGGGGGAGTTGGAGTTGGAGCATTTACTCCTCATCCTCACCCTCCACCCCCCACCCATGGGAGGGCAGAAAGCYACCCCTTCACCCGCCTTCATCTGATCGCCCACTTATCCCATTTCACTCCCAGCTATTTACAGTCGGTGGTTCGGTCAGCTGCGGTTTCTGTTGTGATAATGTGAAATAAATAACTGGTGCTGTTTTATTAGTAAATTGTAAAATTTGGTCTGACTCGGGTCCACATGTTTGCAAAGTTCGTGCTGAGACAAATCGTATTAGGTTTGGATTGTCATGTGCTAGGACAAGTCTTTGCAGTGTTTGTGAGAAATCTCGCCCCGTCACTCCCTGTTTACAGACATGATGTTTGGGGTTTTAAAATCCAGACTTTTTAAGGCACTTGTTCTGTTTATAAAAGTGCGAGCCAAGTTCATTCTGAGTTGAGGGTTTAGGCTTGTTTTGCCTGAGCTGACTTAATGTCTGGAATCCAGTGTTATATAAAGTACCTCAAAGTGATACTTGAGTAAAAGTACAAGTATCTTACCATAAATTTGCTTTGATAAAGGTTCAAGTCTCCTCTAAGAATATTACTTGAGTAAAAGTCTTAAAGTATCTAATATATTTTGCACTTAAGTATCAAAAGTAAATTTCTGACATAAAATGTACTTAAGTATTAAAAGTAATGAGTAAAAATGAGTGGCTAAACTTCCCAAAATGTCATTTATTGGCAGTTGAGACCCTCAGAAAACGTTTTTCTAAAGGTCAAAATGGCTATATTGTCATATAAAAATTAGGGGTGTAAGAAAATATCGATACACTGAAATATCGCGATATTTCATTTCCCGATACTGTATCGATATTCTAAAGCCCTGTATCAATTTTTTATTAAGGTTTAAAATGTCAACTTTCCTGCCAGTTGTTCATTTTTATGTTGTAGTTCAGCCTCTGACCACTAGTTGGCAGCAGTGAGCCAGCCATTTGGCCACTCTACCTCTTGAGGTAGAGGCTATTGTTAAGTGTTGGGTGACCATATTGTAAATTAATATTAAAAACTAAAAGCTGCAAAAAATATATTTCAAACTATTTATTGTTAAATTTAGTCTAATAATTGAAAACATGGATGAAATAAGAAATATGAAACAAATAAAATAAAATACATACAAAGCAGAACACAGCTAAATGTATCAAAAGCATGTCTCTGTAATATTAGAATTTTCTGAGACAATGAATTTTGGTTTTTCATTTTTTTCCCCTGTAAGAGGTTTTTATTTAATAGAATTTTTGGACAAAAAAATCGCAATATATCAGGATATATCGTATCGTGACCCCTCTGTCATGATATGTATCGTATCGCCAAATTCTTGCCAATACACAGCCCTAATAAAAATGTTAATGTTAGAAAAATTAGGATGCACTACACCTGTTATATATAGTATATCTGCTATGTTCTGCTGGAGTGTGACATAATTTGTGTTATTTGCAGCTGTGATGGATTGTGTACAAACTAATACAGGATCAGAATAATATATATTTATACTTCTCATCCAACCACAATTAGATTCACTCTATCCAAGGAGATATTTTTTTAACAACAAGCTGTAATGAAATAAAATAACGACTTTAAACTTCTTACCTTGTTTAAAAATGTAAGAAGTAGAAAGTACAGATAACTCTGTAAAAATGTAAGAAGTAGAAGTAAAAAGTAGGCTGAAAAATAATTACTCAAGTAAAGTACAGATACCCAAAAAATCTACTTAAGTACAGTAAAAAAGTATTTGTACTTAGTTACTTTACAACTCTGCTGGAATCATTTTAAAAATAAACTTTTCTGATATCCTTCAGAGTACATAAAGTGTACTTTTGGCGTTTCAACTATTGATGACTGTTAGGTTTTTTAAGTATTTATATTTTTCTTGTTACTAACAAGTATTTTTCAGAAACTTGACAATAAAGATCTCTTGTGGTTGGGGCTTTGTAGGACCCCCTAAATCAGCGTAGTGTATTTGTGTTGGGTTTGGGATCTGGCTGTTTGAGGGGTGGAGCAAGTAGTGATGAGTATTATATAAAAAAATGTTTTTCAGTCTGTTCCCATCTCATCCAGAAAGCACATTCAAGGGAGAGAACTTCAGGATCTCACTTTGTTTATGGATAAGAGTACATAAAAGGGCTCTTATAGCTCTGTCTCTCACAGTCTTTTACTCCTTCTCTTCTCCCTTTCCCCCCGTTTTTTTCTTCTCTTTTTCATTTGGGCWCAGGGATGGGGGCCTTCGGTCATTAATAAAATAGAGAGAGA